TATATTTCTTTTAAATAAAATACTAGAATGCACGAATTATTAAACTTTAAAAGAATTATATCATATATATATATATATATATATAATAGAAATATATATTAAATATATACTTATTATTATTTTTATTTACAATTTGTCGAAATAGATAACATATATCAAGAAAAATTATTCTTGCATCTATTTTTCTATACACTCAAGATTCCTATTCTTCGTTCCAATAGATGCAAATATATTTCGATCATATTCAAGTGGAATCTCTTAATTAGTACCTTCACACAATCTAACCATGATAGGTTTGAATGGTCCTTTCTCCACACAAACCACCAAACAAAAGTATTCACTCCTTTTCATGTTTTTGTATCTTTTCTTTTTCAAGTATTACATTGGTCACAAAGTACTCTTCCAAAGAATTATAAATAAAAAAACCTATAAAATTATTACAATATATATATATATATATATATATAATATAATATAATATAAAACTACTTAGGAATGGTAATAGATAAAGTATCTGATGGGTACCCATAAAATTTACCCTTAACAGGTAGGGTATTTACTTGCTAAACAGATACAAAGAAATGCCGACAAATTTTAATAGGAATGAGTATGAGTATAGGTACCTATGTACTTTTAATAAGAATGAGTACGAGTATAGGTACCTAAGTACCCAACCCGCATATATATAAGGGAGACCTTAACCTAAAAGCTCATTATGGGAGGAAATTAGAGTTAATACTCAATACTATAGTCATTAACAATTATGTAATTATGAGTTGCTCTACAACTTGACCTATCGAGAGTTGTATTTTAGAAGTGTGAATTATAGATAAATATCTAACCTATTACTTCTCATAGGATTCAGAGATCAAGTTCGACAGCTTTTATATCAAGTAAGTCTTTAACAAGTAAATTTAAAACTCTATTATAATTATTATTAGTATTTCCAATTATCTTTGTTGTTCTAATTTCATATAATCTTGTTAGAATAATTTTTTACTTACAATGGAGCAACTAAGAATTTAAGAAAACAAGAACTTAACTCACTTTTAGATTTTAGAAAGTTTTTATGAATGCTTTTATATAATTTTGGTCAAGATAAATGTAACACTTTCATTTAAACAATTCTCAACGCATGGTTTCATTAAAATATTTCAAAATAAGAATAGATTACAATTTAAATCAAGTAATTACTACAAGACTAATTCAAATACATTATAGTTTTCAAAAATAACTTTTTAAGTCCTATAGCAGTCTCATCCATTCCTTTACTAAGCTCGGTGCTGATCGTCTTGGTCACTTGAAAAATAAATGTAAGGGTGAGTATTCTACACTATCACACACATACATATAAGCATAGAATCTTACCTTGCACATTTCACACATTTGCTAATATAGCTCAAATCAAGTATTAACAAACACGAAATAATATTTCTCAACATTCCATTCCAATTCACAAACAGGTGTGCTCATTGCACCATCAAATCATTCACACATACGTGTGCCCACTGCACGTAGTCACGCTTACTGTGGCACTGTGATAACAGATTTCTGATACTCTCAATCTCAGAGACTTACTCAGTTTACACCATGGATGGTTGCCGGATAGTTCCCATTTCATAGATACAACGTGTGCGATATTGAGCCCCCAAGCAAATGTATTAGTCAGAGGCCTAGTCAGGAAGAGAGTGTGGCCTGTGGTGCACCTACGCTCACTGTTGGTGTCACCACCACTTTTTTTTTTCTAAGATATTTCTACCGCCCCTATCTTTCACACCTTTAGTGTATCACTGAATCATTCATAGTTTTCCCAACATATTGAAACACAAGCACAATGAACATTAATATGCCATTTTCACACACTTTCAACAATTTCATATTATTCATCTTCAATCAATGGCATGTCAACACATATATTCACTCACATTCTCAATCACATTATAATATTCACTTTCACACATGACACGTATGTCCACATTCAATCACATTACACTCAAACATCTAATTTTCATTACCATTTCATCACACATCATGCCCAATAACTACCCTATCATACTTCATACAAAATTTCTATTAAAACATACATTCTCCTACATTTTATCTCAACCACATTTCATCATCTAACATTATAAATGAAATTTAAATACAAGAGATAGGGTAGAGTCCTCCTTACCTCAAAATGAAGAATCAATCATGAAATCAACAATGAAAGCATTCCCCAAACTGATTTTAGTCCTAAACACATGGAAAACTCCATGAGAAACCAAGAAAGCAAGGAAGAGGGACGAAAACCAAAACCCTAACTCATAGAACTTACCTCCAAGCGTCCCAAACACAATTCCAATCTTCAATCTTACTCCTAAACGGCTTTGGAGGCAGTTTAATCAATGGAAATGGGTTTGGAGTTGAGAAAATCGCAAAAGGAACGAGAGGGAATGTAAAAATGCATTTTCTCGAATCCTAAACCCTTTCAAATACCCCTTCTGGTTGCAATATTTTCACTACAGTGAGAACTTCGCTGTAGCAACACTCTTTCTTGCTACAGCAAAAATATCAGAGAAAACTACATTTTAGTTTATGCAGAATCTCGCTACAGCGAGACTGCAACCCAGAATGTACCCCTTTCTATTGCCTTCTCGCAATAGCGAGAAATCTCTCGCTACAGCAAGAATGCAACAGTGGCACGCTCTTTCCCCAAAACTTTCTCGCTACAGCGAGAATCCTCTCGCTACAACGAGAATGCCCTTGCAGTACACACCCTGCCTATTTCTAATCAGTCCAACATATCCAATCTTAACGCACAATCAACATTCACACTCATACTCATATTCACGTATTAATACATGGTCACGTCATTATATATATTCTCATCATCATATACATCAAATACACATTCAAATAGAACTCCACAATTTATATTAATGTATAAAATATCATTACAAAATTCAAGGCATTAAAATAAAGATTTCACTATTTATTTTATGTAATTTCATGTCTTATGATTTTTACTCACTTCAAAATTCTTTTATAGGCTATAATTTTTTTTTTGAATAGACAAATTATCTATTTGAATTTTTGAGTAATATTATTTTTCAATTTATAATTTTTTATTTTTAAATTTTTTTCTATGAAAAATAAAAGGTTGAAAATTTTAATATAAATATTTATGTTACTCAAATAAAAGACTGCATATTTAAAGATATAAAAATCTATCTAATTAAATTTATTTTATAAGATTAACATAAAAATATATTTACTAATAAACTAAACCATAAAAATAATTTTTTTATTTTTAATTTAGTTACTATGTTATATCATTTAATTAAGCTAGTACAATTTAATTATTACATAATTGATATAAAAATTAATTTTTATTATGTACTTGTATGTTTTAGTTTCTTTTAGTATTGCTGGACCAAAGTAATATATAAACCTAAAAGATAAGTATTTGCTCTCATTTAAATTGTCTAATTTTGATGTAGAGGTAAAATAACCTAACTATATCTATTATTTTGACTTTATAATAAATAATTAAATAATATTCTTTTTTTTAGGTATTGGAGAGTAACAAGTACATAACTCTCAAATTTATGAGTTAGTTATTTTAGATAATCTTAAAGATTATGTGTGAAATTTTGCTTATGATTTTTTAGTATTTTAATTTAGAAAGTTTATGTATTAAAATACACTTAGCACTTGTGATATTTGATTATATGTTTTCTATCTATGCTTGAACTTTGTTTGGAAGTTATGTATCAAATTTTTGCATTATTATGCTATTCATGTAAAATTATATAAGCATATTTTTTATAAGTATTTTTTTCTTATAGAAGTGCAGATTATAGGAACAAGTACTTAGAGAGTACATGTATGAAGATTAAAATTACTACCACGCGAGAATGAGGCTGAGTACATGTATTTTTTTAAAACGCGGACATGAAGACGGATACTATAATACTATAATATCTTATCTATACTCTACTCATTACCATTCTTAAAACCACTAATATATGAATTGTCATGTTAATTACTTATTATACTTATAATATTTATGTAATTATGTAAATTATTCATATTGTTTTAATATAAGTAAATTTTTTTAAATTGAAAATTAATGATAGCTTAATAAATATTAAATAGATTATTAAAATAAACTATTTTAACATTTGCTTTAGATCTACATGTTAAGCCAACGAAGACTATCAATAGATTTTAAAAAAATAAAATAAAATCAACCTTTATATTATTAATGAAAACATTTTATGTAGAAAGTAAAACATTCTTTGAAACTATTTTTTTTTAAAATTTGTCACCTATATTTTATAATATTAAAATTATTTGAAAATGATATATTAATTATAATATCTATGATTACTATAATTTTATTTTTTTATTAATTTCATTCTAATTTTAGAGATGAAAGTTTTCACTTAACTTTCTCTTATTATCTTCTATCAACTTTTAAATTTTTTTGTAAATTTGTATATTTACATTTATAAAAATTTTATTTATTATTTTATATAAACTTTCATAATTTTTTCAATTATATGTTTATATAAAATTCATAATACATTAAATTTTTGTAATTTTATTAAATTTTTATCAGATACATACTTTTTTTTTTTAAATGTGTGTGTGTTCAAATAAAATATATTTACATTACAGGACTCATCTTTAAAATATAAGGCCTTCAGCTCCAAAATCAAAACTCCACCGTCCACCCAGCAATTAATGCTTTTTATCTCAATGCGATATATAATTTATCATAATAATATATTGCGAACAAATAGTCTACTTACATTTTTAGTTCCAATAAATAATTAAATTTTATTTTTAAGTTAATTTTATTATTAGCTTTAAATATATATTACGTTATTAGTAAATAATAACAGTAATTAATATGAAATTTAAAATTAATAAAAATTAAAAGATTCAAACTAAACTTAATCGTATTGTTTTTTTTAGGCCAAACTTAATCGTGTTTACTAGAACAGAAGCACAGTTTTATGTAGGGAGAATTTGGGGGTTTTGGGTTGAGGCCTTGGTCATGCTCCATCTTCGCCAACCAAGAAATGCCTCAACTTTAGCGATAGCTTAGAGCCGCACCCACGATTTAGGACACGAACTTGCAATTGAAGACCCAAAGATCATAGCTTCCTCAAACACCACCGACTCTGTGCTCTTCACCCTCTCCTTCTTCTCAGGTTTTATTTATTTATTTTACTTCATTTATGCTCACATTTTCTGCTTAGGAGAAAAAACAAAACAGTGATTCTCGTATTGTATTGGGTTCATCGTTTCCGTGACAGAACCCCACCAAAGGTTGTTGCTAGCATATATCAGTTGATAATGAAAGACTATCTCTGTTGGCAGAATCTAATAGAATTTTCAAAACTTGGGTAATGGGTTTTCTTATTGCATATGAAGAGAGTAGCTATATCCTCCTATTTCCATTGTTTTCATTATCGTCGTCATACACTTGTGCGTTTTCTTCCAAGATGTTTGAGTGTGAACAAGTTCTCTTCTTTGGGTTCAAGCAGTACCAGACCTTTTCCTGATTACTCCCCGAGAAAGCCTTCAATCTCAGACACTGACTTTGTGTACCACATAACCATTACCGTCAAGCAACGCCGTTCTGAGCCTCTTCGCCGGATTCTCAAGCCTTTTGAATCAAAGTTCAAGCCTGATCATCTCATTTGGGTTCTTATGAACATCAAGGATGATTATAAACTTGTTTTGGATTTCTTCAATTGGGCACGCATGCGCAGAGACCCTTCACTGGAAGCCCTTTGCATTGTGGTTCAGATTGCTGTGGCTTCCAAGGATCTTAAAATGGCTCACAGGCTGGTTTCTGAGTTCTGGGAGAAGCCCCATTTTGATGTTAGTGACTCGTTTGTGCGGTTCACTGAGAGGTTAATTTATACTTACAAGGACTGGGGTGCACACCCTTTTGTGTTTGATGTGTTCTTCCAGGTTCTTGTTGAAGCAGGGTTGCTTCTAGAAGCTGGGAAACTGTTTGATAAGTTGTTGAATTACGGTGTTCTTGTCTCTGTAGATTCTTGTAATTTGTTTCTAGCTAGGCTTTCTAGGAATTTTGACGGGATAAAGACCGCGTTTAGGGTGTTTCGAGAGTATCCGGAAGTGGGTGTTTGTTGGAACACAGTGTCGTATAATGTTATTCTTCACTGTCTTTGTCTATTGGGTAAGGTAAAAGAAGCACATAATCTGCTCATACAAATGGAGTTTAGGGGAAGTGTTCCTGATGTTGTAGGTTATACTGTTATAATTAATGGATATTGTCAGGGTGAACAGCTAGGAAAGGCCCTGAAGCTTATCGAAGTGTTGCAGAGAAAGGGATTGGAACCAAATCAATACACGTACAATAACATAATTGCTCTTCTTTGCAAGACTGGTGGAGTAATTGAAGCGGAGCAAGTCTTGAGGGAGATGATACACCACAGTGTTTTTCCTGATAATGTGGTTTATACAACTCTCATCAGTGGTTTCTGCAGGTCTGGCAATGTTTCAGCTGCATACAAACTCTTTGATGAAATGAGGCTTAAGAAAGTAGTTCCTGATTTTGTGACATATACTTCCATTATTTATGGGCTTTGTTGCATTGGAAAGATGGGGGAAGCACACAAACTGTTATGTGAAATGTTCACTAAAGGTTTGGAACCAGATGAGGTTACTTATACAGCTCTAATTGATGGGCATTGCAAGGCTGGGGATATGAAAGAAGCATTCTCTCTTCATAACCTGATGGTTCTGAAGGGTCTGACTCCAAATGTTGTCACTTATACTGCATTAGTTGATGGCCTGTGTAAACATGGAGAGGTAGATATAGCGAACGAACTTCTTCATGAAATGGTTGAAAAGGGCCTTCAACCAAATGTCTACACATATAACACAATAGTCAATGGTCTTTGTAAGATAGGAAATATAGAGCAAGCTGTAAAACTTATGCAAGAAATGGATTTGGCAGGATTTTATCCTGACACTATTACATACACTACACTCATGGATGCTTATTGTAAGATGGGGAAAATAGCCAAGGCTCATGAGTTACTGCAGATTATGCTTGATAAAGGACTTCAACCTACAATTGTTACATTCAATGTGCTAATGAATGGGTTTTGTATGTCAGGGATGCTGGAAGATGGTGAAAAACTAATCAAATGGATGTTGGGAAAAGGTATAGTGCCAAATGCCACAACGTTCAATTCTCTTATGAAGCAGTACTGCATTAGAAATAACATGCGTGTCACCACTGAGATTTACAAGGGTATGCATGCTCAAGGAGTGATGCCTGACAGTAATACCTATAATATTTTGATTAAAGGGCATTGTAAAGCTAGAAATATGAAAGAGGCATGGTTTTTACATAAAGAAATGGTTGAAAAGGGATTTAGTCTAACTGCCGCTTCCTATAATGCTCTTATAAAGGGTTTCTATAAGCGGAAGAAATTTGTGGAGGCTAGGAAGCTATTTGAAGAGATGAGAACACAAGGGTTGGTTGCAGAAAAAGAGATATATGATTTTTTTGTTGATGTAAACTATGAAGAAGGGAACTGGGAAAGTACTCTTGAGCTTTGTGATGAAACAATAGAGAAATACCTTGTTAAGGAAACTTAATTGACTTTTGTGTTTTCCAGTTTATGATGGAATTATCAGGGGCAGTAATTGTTTTGTTTCTGCTTCTCTTTCTTGGTGGTTCTGTTGAAAGTTGAATGCATATCATAACATCAGTTACTCTCATCATTAGAAGAGTGACGCATGTCTTCCAGGTCTTTTGCAAACAACTGAAGCCGATTATCACACTAACACAAATACAGAGGGAGTTTTTCATCCTCAAATTCAAAAGGACACCTCAAGATTTTGAGGATATTTTGTTGGGATTGTGCAAGATGGTGCTATATGGCCTGAACCCATATGAAACACATGTAAGATTTTTCTTGGTAGAAAAATGTAAATAGAGATTTTTAAATGAAAGTAACTCATGCAACTTTCTATTTTTTCAGTGTAGTTTTTCCATCCTTTAAGACTTGTTTGAGAGAACTGTAATCAATGACGATGACATCATAATTGATGTAAGTGCTAAAATTTTAAATTCCCTTGAAGGAATCTGACTGAAATCTTTATCTTTTGTTTACTTGAATGAAGCATTACTGCTAAAGTAAAATTATCGTTAATCTTTAGTAAAAAGATTATATGGTGTGACAAAATTTGATTTAGTTTGCTTGAATCTGTCAATATGAGTTCTAGTTAATTTAATGAAAGGAAAAAAAAAAAAATAATTGCAAATTTTACTTGTAACTAACTGATCCAACAATGTCTGAAACAGTAAGCTGAATTTTGTACCTAAGTTTTGACGTTCTTAAGAATAATAAATAATAGTTAGCAACTGCAAAAGAACAAAATCAGGCACGTAAAGTGCTAAGAATTTTCTATCATAAGAGAACAGATATCTTTTCATATCCATCTTGATGGCTTCACTGGTAACCTTTTCTATTTTATTTCTTTGCTATGATTTTCTTTCTTACACTGTTCCCTATATTTGAAGAACATAGGGATATCTCTTTAAAATAAAACAGAACATAGGGATATGGTGTTTGCAGAATTTTTTTTTCTGATCAGCAGATAGTTTACAGAAATATTCTCTCACAAGTCTCACCTCTCAGCTGCCTCTGGAGATGTGTCTACAATAAAGGTAGAGGAAATTTCAAGTATGCCTGTTTCTCAGCGTTTTTGTATATATCTTTGTACACTATTTTTATTTTGTTATTGACAGCTTGAAGGTTTAATCATTCTATTTTTTCATGTTAATATTGATTGAGTCATTTTCAGCTTATCATATTGTGTCAAATCTATGTAATTTTGAGAGTGCTTGCACCACTTGACATCCAATTTTTCCTCAAATCTATGTAATTTTGAGAGTGCTTGCACCACTTATCATATTGCACCACTTGATGGTGCCTGGATAAATAGCCAGTTGGAGAAGTGTAATATGTTGATGACTTTAGTTATTGTTAACTGCTTCCATCTCATGTTCCAATATACTCACTGGTGAATGATGATGCTCATGTGCTAATGAAAAGTGTAACTCCTAATCGGAAATTTGAAATCAATATATGATATAAAGGTGGTGTTTGGTACTCTGGTATCCACATGTTGAATTTAAGATTCCCTGATATTGGGAAATTGGAGTTAAATGCATATTTTTAAGATGTGGGTATAAACTAACGGCACTGACATCTCAGATTCCTTCCTGGGATCCAATTTTTACAATTATAGTGGCTTTATTCTTTCAAAAAAATTTGTGCAAAATATGAAAAAATTCTTATACCCATGTGTGTTTGTGAGATGCCCTTCCTTTTTTATTTAGGAAGAAGACTCCAAATATCAGTTATTCAACTATGTGATTGAGCTAATTTTCTTTTTTTATCTCTATCCTAATTTTGTGCTTTTCACAGGTTTTGATTGACACTTGCAAAGTGGAGAAAGGCATTAATGGGAGATTTTGTTTGTTTGCTTGTGGAATTGAAGTTCTGTATAGTAAAAAATTTCAGTACCGATAGAGTTTGAATGTGCAGCAGACATTGTAAGCCTCTAGCATTTGTACTGAACATTGAAAGATGCTTATAGGAGATACGTCTTTCTAATTGTTGATAAACAGGAAGAAGCAATGGATAAACTTGAAAGATTTAGACCCACTCTCATAGCAGTGAATTGCTTCTGAGATTAATGAAGCAGTAGAGAATTTTCCTGTGGCAATATTATGTGATGATAGTTTTAGTAATCATATAAAGGGACAAAAAGTGAACGCAGAATGTGAACTGGATTATGTATTATTAAGAATATACAAATTTGTTATTTCTTTAATTTGCCAAATTATTACCTTGTTCTTGATTCTGATATCATGTAAACATTCTCAAGATGTGCATGTGATCCTTTAAAATAGTTGTTTTTTAGACTCTCTTTTTTCCTTATATTCATTCTCCATCCTCTCCTTTTCCCTATCTCTCTTTATTTTCTATCACATCATTCATAACATCTTTTATCTGTTTTTATTCGTTTTTTTTTCTCTTTATCTTTTTCTTTTTCCATTCATTCCACACCCCATTTTCGGGATGTGAACAATTTTTTTTTTCAATCTTTTACATTGTCCATGTCAACAATATTGTTAAAAAGTGCTTTTTTCCTACTTCTAAATTTTTCTCACTGAAATTACAAGGTTTAGAAGTATAGAGTTAAAGCTTTTTCAATGTTTTCTGTGAGATCTCTAAGGTTCCGTTTGGACGAACGGTGAAATAGAAAAAAAATAAAAATTTGAAGAGAAAAGAAATAAGAGGATAAAAAATATAATTGACACAAAGGAAAGAATATTTGATGTTTGAATGTGTTGAAATAAGAAGAAAGAAAATGGAAAAAAAAATTATTCCCTTTGTTTGAAAGAGTAAAAAAAGTGAAATAAATAATCAAATTAAAATTTAAATATTTATATAAAATTAAATTGATTTTTATTATAGTATTTTTTTTAATATTTTTAATATATTTTTATATTATATTAATATGTTTTTCAAAATATAAAATAAAACTTAGAAAGAAAAACTCCCTGCATCCTCCATTCTCAAAATGGTTATTTTATGTGGTGAGATTAAAAAAAAATCTCTTTTCACCGTTCAAACTCAAGATTTCTTTTCTCTTCCTAATTCCTTCCATCTCTTCAAATTTTGTAACATTCTAACGCTGTAGGAGAGTTAATTTTAGGGAGTAAGAGAGCAAAGAAGAATGTTTATTTGATGATAACTTTAATTTAAAAGTTTTTAAATATGAAATTTGTTTTATAAGTTTTTTAAAATCTCTCGTATGCATGTTTTAGGTTTTTTCAATTTTATTTTAACCTGTTTTTTTTTCTTCTTCACTTTTACCCTTTAAATCCTTCAATTCCTCTTTCTAAATTCTCAAATAAAATTTAATGAAAATGTGCTTTGTTTAAACATTAGTTAGAGATGATAACTACAATATGCAGGAGAGAAAGATATTTTTTTTTAAATTAAGAGAATTATATATTATTTATGATAATAAATATATGATTAATATATTAAATTTATGTTAATATATTAATTTATATTTTTTATTTTTACAAAATATTAATTTTAAATATATTTATTTAAAATAAAAAGTTGTCTTCTTCTCTTATTTCCTATAAAATCTATTTTCACAAATAACTTTAAAAAAAATATTAACATTTATGCAAGTCAAATAAGATTACTTCAACCTCTATTTTATACTTGCTTAAATTATTAGTGTAATTTTCCTGTAACATATTATTATTGAAAACATTCAAATGATTTTTAAAGAAATGAAAAAAACTTTAGCATTTCAATGTGTTTTGAAAATTTTCCTTTATTGTTGATTTTAGTACCTCCATTATCAAGAGCTAAATACAAATATGTATTAAGTAAAACATTTATAATTGTTATGACAAATTTAATGTGTATGTGTGTGATAAAAATCACATTTATGAACTTATCTCTTACACCTCTTCCTCTTCCTCTTTTTCCTCCATCTTCTTGTTACCAACTTTGAGTATTCACTTCTAAATCTCAATCTATAAATAATTTAACTTTATAAATATTCTTTTCAAGCTATTAATCTTTATTATTTACTTTATTATTCATGAATATAAGTTTATTGTCGTGGATTATGTTTTGTGTATATTTATTAATCTTATATTCTTGAAGATTGGCCTTCAACCTCGTCTTTAATATTATCTTTGTGGTATACTCCTATGAGTAATGGTATTTTTCACGGTATGAATTTGAAATTTTAAATATTTAAGCATCTTGTGAATGTTTGTGATTCACTATTTGGTGATTTTGATTTAAGGTTACATAGTTTGTTTGAATAAGTGTAAATTTGCTATACCTTTAGAGTTGATGGTGGCTAATTTTGAATCTAAGGGTAGTTTTGATGAAGGAGGGAAATGAAATTTTTGAATTGTGGAAGATGGTGAAGGATAGACTTGCATTGCTACTATTAATTGATCTGAGAAAGTTGGGTTGAATCTTCCACCTAGTTTTATGGCGAAGGAGTGTCTTCCCGGTGTTGATTTGGGCAAAGGCAAAGTGGTTGTGGAAGAAGTTTGAAAAAGAAGTTAAAATAGGAGGGTGTTTAGTGTGGAGGAGGAAGGGGAAGAAATGTCAGATAAGGTCAGACAGAAATAATGAATAATATTGCATAATATATGTGATATAAAATGATAATTTTTTTAATAAAAAATGACCTATTTAAAATGTTTATAAAAATTAAAAAATTAAATTAAACTAAAAAATATTAGCAGACAAAAATATTAATTTTGACAAGAATATAAATCTATTTAATTGCTAAATTATAAGTCAATTTTTAATTAAAGATATATCTTTAAAAACTTAGATAATTAGTTTTTTAAATATATAAATATTTATACCTTTTAATTAAGTAAAAATAAATATTAAAAAAATATTATTATAGATTTTATATATAATTAACTTTATATTCGTATAAACAGTACTTCAACTTAAAATTAATATCGTTTCATCTCATCACGTGTCCTTAGAAAAACATATTGCATTTACTTTTGTGAAGATTATAAGAACAATTTTTTATAATTAATTTTTAATATATACATAATATGTGTAAAAAATATTTAATCATATATGAGTTTATAAGAATATTTTTTAATATTTATTAAAAATTTTAATTTATAAAAAGTACTAACTTCTTTTGAAATAATGATTAATTTTTATAGATATATCTGTAATTAAAAATAAATTTTAATTTAAAATTAAATAGACTCATTTTTTTAACAACAAATAGGTTTAACTATCTATATTTTCACTTTTTAAAAGTTAATTTTGTATAATTATTTTATTTCATGATACAAATATTTCAATATATAATACAAACAACTTGAGAAAGTTTATATATATATATATATATATATATATATATATATATTAATATATTAATTATTGTGCTTAAAAGTTAAAAAAAAAAAATCACAAACAACCTAAGAAATAAATCTAGAATACTTAAAACCTCGGGAATCAACCCTTAGTAAATGGATCAAACTAAAAGATTTATATTTTTGAAGCAAACAAAAAATAGAACAAATTAAGGAAATATAAACTTCAGAGGTAACATTTCATACAAAATATAACTAATGACCTTTTTAGAAATAGTCTCTATACATACATTCTTAAGATTTCTAGCCTTGATCAATTTCAACCCCTCAAAAATAGCCCAAAGTTTAATTAACAGGGAAACAAAAACATCAATTTTCTTATGAAACTAGCAACAAAAGCCTCACTAGGACTCCTCAATACACCTTCACAAATAGAAGATTGACCCTTAAAGGGATGGTACAGACAGAAGATAAAGAAATGTAATTTGTGAAAATAAAAGTCTGAATAAGCAAAACAAAAGCAAGAGTACAATTAGGTCAAAAAAATAAGAGTTTCTTTCCAACAACTTCTTCTAACTAACAACTCCAAAGAGAATATCCCAATTACAAACTTTATTTGTTACTTTAGTTTGGAGATTAAAAGAAGTCAGAAAGACACACTATACTTATAAAATCTACTCCAAACCTGAGGGGATAACAACTTATTCCAAATATCTATAGCAAAATAACAATATGTGAATAATAAATTTTGGAAGATAAGAATTAGACATACCTTTCTTATTTTTTTTTTCTCATTGGTAAAAAGTTAATTGCCCTTGAAGAGGAGTGTTACATGTAAAAAAAATATTAGTAAAACTAGCTACAAGTTAAAGGATATAGAAAAAAGATAATCATGAATTTTAAGGGAATTGTTAAATAACAAAGATTGATATTAGTCCATTAATAATAAATTAAATCATATAAAAGTAAAAGGATGATAAGTACAAATTATCAAGTCTTTTTTTAAATAAATAAGTCATTTCTTTCTTTCTATGGATATTGGGCTGAGACAATAAACGTTGTCCCCCCTGAAAAGAAATTAAGATTTCTCCGCAACACTTTCAGTGCGTTAATATCGTGTATCTTTCTCAGCCACAAAATCTACCAACCTTTCCCTGCAGAGGAATATATAAAATATATAAAATATTTTTATATTAATATAAAAATAAAATTTAATAAAAATTAATTTTTTTAATTTAAATTTATTAATTATTTGCCTATATTTTTTGTTATAAAAATATTATTTAATTGTAAATGAACTAAAAAAACGGAAAATGCTAACAGCTTCTTCCTCTCATAATCCAATGGAAAAAAGAAAATGTTGCAGTGAGCCCCACAAAATTATTTTTCCTGCTTTCACTGCCGAACAAAGATACCAAACCATGGAAAAATTTACTTTCTTCCATAATTTAATCTTTCCTTCCTAAATCCTGCAAAACAACATACCATAAAAGAATAAGAAAGATAAGACAACGATACAGGAGACAGGATCATATGTAGTTGTGTTTTTTACTTTTAATAACATATTCATACGCATGTATTGACTTTAATTCTTTTTACTTTTTTTTTAATCTCTTTCTTTAAATTATATCATCTATCTTATTTTTTACTTTTTTACTTCTTTTCACGTCCTTAAAAAAAATCACATCTGACGAGCATTGTTCTTTTACTTCCCTGAAGTAAGAAGTGGTGGGTGGGGACTGGGGATGGTAGGTACAGAATTTCAAGTCTTCAACTAGCATTCCAAGGTCACGTTATGAACTATCCTCTTAAACCCCCAACATCAACTAATCTTCTTATGGGTATTGCTTCATTCTTCTATATATTAATGCATTATGATCACCCACATACCAAGACCAAGATAGAGAGTAGTGACAGAGAAGGTCATGAAGAGTGAGGTGCAATTATTGGGTGCATGGCCAAGTCCATTTGTGTTGAGGGCTCGCATAGCTCTAAATATAAAATCAGTGGAGTATGAGTTCCTTGAGGAAAATTTGGAATCAAAAAGCCAGCTTCTTCTTAAATCCAACCCTATACACAAGAAAATCCCTGTTCTCATTCACAGGGACAAACCCATTTGCGAGTCTTTGATCATTGTACAATATGTGGATGATGCATGGTCATTTGCCCCTCTCATTCTCCCCTCTCATCCTTATGACCGCGCCATTGCTCGTTTTTGGGCTGCCTATATTGATGAAAAGGTATAATTATCTAGCCTTTGTTAATCCCATGCCAAAGTTCTCTAGCTATATATTTACTTATGGTCATAGATACATTATTATCACTATAATGCTTAAAAAATGCGAAAAACAAGATTAATTATCTAGCCTTTGAATATGTTTTCAATCTTTGAAAATACAGAATTTAAATTAATATTTATTTACTTTTTTTTCTTTTACTTAGAGAAACTTTTTTGATGGTTCCTTAAGTAACTTTTATGGGAAGATGACATTTTTCAGCAAGATGCCATCGCTTACTGAAGCAATGTTTTTTAAGTGAAAATTTAAGATCAAGTAAGAAAGAGAAGCAAGTTACATTATGTGCAAAGGTATTCTTAAAACTTATAAAAAATAAGTACTTAAGTACTTTTAATTTCAAACAGTGAGAAATAATTTTATTAAATGAAAGATTAAAATAAATAAAATTTAAATTAGTAATAAAATTGAAAAGGTAAAATATTTTTAAGGACAGCTATGATATTTACAGAGGAATTCTAGCAACATTTTTTTAATATATTTTTTAACACATTCTTAATTATTGATTAAAATTTATTAAAAATTACAAAAGTATAAATGAGAAATATTAATTTAAGCGTAAAAAAGAGTGTTTAACGGTAAATTTATGTTCCTTAAAAACCTTTATCAATCTTGAATTTATGTGTCAACCCAAACTAACACAGACTAGAATGAAGATAAAACCATTGTCCATTTGTGAGTTTTACTGGATACCGGAAGTTCTAACTTCTTTAGCACAAGGAACAAGATACTAGTGGGAGTGACACCCAAAATTGCAAAGCAAAAGTTTTCCAAAGTGCAAGACTTGAAATATGAAATTGTGTGACTTTTCAGTGGTACCCGACCATGAAATCCATTAGAGGAGCAAAGGGAGAGGATGAGAAGAAGAGACTGATAGAGGAGGTAAGAGAAGGATTGGCATTGCTCGAGGATGCGTTCAAAGAAAGTAGCAAAGGCAAGGCCTTTTTTGGCGGTGACCAAATTGGATTCTTGGATATTGCACTTGGTAGCATCTTGGGGTGGATGAGGGTCACTGAGATCTCAAATGGGGTGAAATTGCTGGATCAGCCCAAAACACCTGGGCTCCTCAAATGGGCCCAAGAATTCTGTGCCCATGGTGCTGTTAAAGGTGTTATGCCAGAGACAACGAAGCTTCTTGAGTTTGCCAAGACGCTGAAACGCTAAGGGCTAAAATGCTTGTTTCTTCTCTTCGTTTAAGTGATTGTACTTTTCATTAAGGAAATTTCTGTTTAGTACAAAATTTGGTGCACGATTTTATACCAATTACGTGCCTTGCGCTTTTCGTCTACTTCTTTTGCTTTTTTATGGCTTAATTTGTTGTCTTCATCCAACAATAATACAAAAATCATATCTCATGTAATTCCGGTTAACTTTTTTTTTTTTTGTAAGTAGCACTACTCTTGATTACTCTGGTTCTGACTTCTCAGGTTTTAATTTGTGTTGTTAAAACTTCGAATATATATCACTTTTGTTATTTAAACATCTAAAAATTGATATTGTCTATAATTATCTTTATCTTTCTCTGATTTTTTTTACATTATATATATATTAAAAACACACTCCAAAATCCAAGAAAAAAAATTAGAACGTAAACCACTTCAGATATAAGAACAAAAATTTTAATATTGATTGCGTTGAACATGAAGCACCAGTGGTCTAGTGGTAGAATAGTACCCTGCCACGGTACAGACCCGGGTTCGATTCCCGGCTGGTGCATTGTTTTTTCTGCCATTTATTTTGAATTGAGATTTTCACAAATACCTCTAATTATACATATCCAATCCTTTACATACATATTAATAGGAATTACATAACATAACTTTATATACATTACACATATTCTTACAAGACCAGTGCTGGTTTACTTAAAAGTGTTCTAACAGTTTAAATAGTACAATCAAAATTATTGCCAGAAAGTGACTCACGGGACGGCAATGTTTTTACTTTACTTTTGGTTTTTAAAGTGAAGAATATTCCTATTCGTTAAACCATTTAAAAAATGATGATAATTTTGATATAAATAATTTGATCATAAACTTTGGTTAGCACAGACAAACATATATCTTACAATCTCCATGGATAAGAGTGAGGTGAAGCTTATTGGCAAATGGTCTAGTCCTTATGTGATGAGGGTGAAGATTGCCCTCAACATCAAATCCCTTGAATATGAATACTTTGAAGAAACCCTGAACCCCAAAAGTGATTTTCTTCTTCAATCCAACCCTGTGTATGGTCGAGTCCCAGTACTCCTCCACTATGACAAACCCATCTGTGAGTCTTTGGTCATAGTTGAATACATAGATGAAACATGGCCCTTTGGTCCTTCTATCCTTCCCTCTGATTCATATGATAGAGCAGTTACTCGTTTCTGGGCTGCTTACATAGATGACAAGGTATAGCTTCTTTTGGCTATTTCTTTCTTTTGTGTTTGGAATGAATTTATTTGATTTAAAACGTTTTATGTTGGGAACTTACTATATATGTATCAAAATGTGTATCAAGTGAAATAGGATTAATGATTCACATGTAGTTGTATGAGTAAGATGAAGAATGTGTTTGAATGATTGCTTATTTAAGTATTTATTTAATATTTTAAAAAAATTATTTATATCATAAATTTAATGATTAAATTTGTTGAGATAAATAGAAAACAACTTATTAAAATAAACTGAAACAACTCAGAAGAGTCTCAAATTGTTTTACATACAGTGTTCATGAGCTCTTTAAACATGTCCTAATTCCTTTCATTTCTTACTCTTAGATTAGACAAGCATAATTTTGCAAATTATTTTTTGTTTGATATTCATGAAAAATGAAATTAACTTGATTTGATTTTACTATTTTGTGGAAATGGGGGTAGTGGTTTCCTTCCATGAAAAGCATTTTGATTGTTGAAAGTGAGGAGGAAAGGAAGCCATACTTTGAGGTGTTAGAAGAAGTGCTTGAGAGGATGGAGGATGCTTTTGGGAAATTGAGCAAAGGAAAGGCCTTTTTTGGTGGAGACAGGATTGGGTTCCTTGATATTGCTTTTGGGTGCTTCCTGGGATGGGTCAGTGTGATAGAGCATAGATATGAAAGGAAACTGCTGGTGGAAGCAAAGGCTCCTGCTTTGGTGAAATGGGCTGAGAGATTTGCTGCTGATCCTGCTGTGAAGGGGCTCATCCCAGAGACTGATAGACTTGTTGAGATTTCCAAGTCTCTTCAGATCAAATGGAGAACTGCTATTGGCAAGAAATAGAATTTGGGGTGCTAATGATGTTCTTGTGTGATGAATTATGTTAAAATAAAATTCAGTTTGTGGTTAGAGTTTATCTAGAAGTTATCCTTAACCTCCTCCTCTCTTTAGTCCTTTTGGGTTGTCCTCTCATTTGTAATCACAGTTCCATATCAAGTTACTGATTCAGTTTGATATTTTAGTGTCAAGTAATTGCCTATTCAACAACTTCTCCCCTTCACTTAGAATTTAATAACCTGATTACACCTGACTAGGAGGCAATAATAGCCAAAAAGAGAATTTTCATAACTTGCTTTATTTCCTTTGAATTTAAAGGTCTTAGTAATTATTTGTCATGGAACACACTCAATTCACACGGTTTCCTTTCATTATCTAATGAGTTACTGCACTCTTTACTTTTCATCTCTTCATACAGCAAATGCAAATCTGTTTTTTACTATGAATTTGCTCTCATATTGCAATTACTTCACTTACAGGTATATAAAACAATTTCTTAGCAAGTATGTTCTATTGAGAACCTTTCTCTCTTATTTTGGGTCTTGGTTTAGTCAAAGAAACCATACTTTGAGCAAATGGAAGAAGTGCTTGTGAGGAGTTAAACAAATGCAATGAAGTTTGGACAATCTATTAGAAGCAGACAGATTTAGTATAACCAATAAAATTATCTTTAAGGTTGCTCATCAGCTGCATCATAATGCAGTTTATCGACGTGGAGTAGTTCCCTCACGAATATATTAGCAACTCTTTTTAATATATTTTTAATTATTAATTAAAATTAATGAAAAATTGAGTTTGTTTATTGTTGTTTTAGTTTTAAATTTTTAAAAATTATATTTTAAGATATTTTAAAAAATATATAAAAATAAAACTTATATTAACAAACAAATTTTATTTTATTTTTATTTTTAAAAAGAAAAAAATTATTTTTAAAAATAAAAAATAAACAAATTCTTAATATTTCTCTGTTATATCTTTATAATTTTTTTATAAATTTTAGTCAATAATTAGAAGTAGTTAAAAATAATATGCTAGAGAGTGTACTGTTAGTCTCTCTTATTAGTTCTACTCAGATTCATTTTATACCATAAGTTATTAACTCACCACAATATTAAGATGAAAAGAATTGAAAAAAAGTTAGAAAGACAAAAAAATAATAATAAAAAGTAAAATAAAATATTAAGATGAGATGAAACGAATTGAAAAAAAATTAGAAAGACAAAAAATTAGAATTAAAAAATAAAATAAAATAAAATATAGGAAAAACAAATATATTGTGTGTCAAGTAAAATAGCAAAAAAAAGTGAACAAAGTTCCTTAGATTATTTGAATAAGTGAAAACAGAGTAAAAAAATTAAATCATATAAAATATAATTTAATAAAATTTAAGCGTTTTATTATAATATTTTGATGAATATGAAGAACACATTTATATATATATTACAAGATACACTGCTGGCAGTTCTACTTGTTATAATTTATTCATAAGATTTCATTAATTACAACATTTATTATTCGTCTAAATGTGCAATAATTAACCAAAATCTGGCAAAAATTTATTAAGTTCAATCAATATACTCAATAATAAAAGTTTAAGTTATACGTTAACACATCGGACTATTAACTATTATGAATAAACATATATTATATATGAGCCTTTGTTTTGACATTACATGAATGTACTTTGGTCTCTGTAAAATAAAAAGGATCTTATCCGAGATATGGTAGACAAAGATCATAAGAGAAAAATTGAATAACTAAACATTAGTGGTGACACTATTCTAACATTATTTATATAGAACAAAGAAAATGATGGTTGAGAAGGATCTTCACTCGTTGGACTCTACTTGCAAGGTATCATTGGTGCTTCTATGAGAAATGCAAGTTCGTCGGTAGATATATAACTTTGAAGGATAGACGAAGAAGGATTATTAAAGAAAGTGTTCTACGAATATACCCTTTTGTTTAGACTTAATTGGCTCCTACTCAGGCCAAATGGTATTTTTATTAGATATATTTGAATAAGCCTCTGGCTGTTACTAGAATATTAAAGGTTGTTAGCTTTGAATAAGTCACTTAATTTTACTAAAGTTTTGATTCCTTATTTTTTGGGTAATTGCGGGATATCAACAAAATAATTTGGTTAAGTTGTTGTCTTTTAGATATTTTTCTGTTTGAAAGCTGGCTATATATATTTAGCATAGCACATGAATAAAACAGAGTTATCCTTTCATTATCAAATACTTTAGCAACTATTTTTCTTTTATAACATTATGGTATTAGAGCCTCTCGTAGGTCCGATACAACATAGCTACAACTAGCTAATCTGTAAAAAAAGACTGAGAGTGATGACAACAGAAAATACTTTTGTGCAACCTACAATTCCTAAGTTTGATGGTCACTATGATCATTAGGTGATGTTGATGGAGAATTTTCTACAATCAAAAGAATATTGGAGTTTGGGGGAAAATGGAATTTTAGTTGCATATGCTAGAACGACACCAATTGAGGCGCAACAACCTCAAATTGATGAATAGAAGCTTAAGGACTTGAAAGCGAAGAATTATCTTTTTCAAGCCTTGGATCGTTCCATTCTCGAGACAATTCTCAAGAAGGACATTGCTAAGGACATATGGGACTCTGTGAAGATGAAGTACCAAGGTTCGATGCGAGTTAAGCGATCTCAATTGCAGGCATTGAGGAAGGAATTTGAGACACACCATATGAAGGCTGGAGAGACTGTGAATGACTATTTTGCACGTACACTTAAGATTGTGAACAAGATGAAGGTTAATGGTGAAACAAAAGTGACAGAAGTAGTGGAAAAGATATTGCGATCTATGACTCTGAAATCCAACTATGTGGTCTGTTTAATTGAGGAGGCACAAGACACTAGCAAACTAGCTATAATGAATTGCAAAGCAGTTTGCTAGTGCATAAGCAAAGAATGATTAGCCCATAAGAGGAACAAGCTTTGAAGGTGACTTATGGGGAATCTTCTAATAGAGGAAGAGGTCGTAGTAGCTATCGATGACGAGGAAGGGTAAACTTGGACAAATCCATTGTTGAATGCTTCAATTGTCACAAACTAGGGCACGTACAGTAGGAATGTCAAAGCAAAGAAAGCAATCATACCGAGATTTCTGAAGAAACATTGCTTATGGCTCAGGATGGAGATTAACAACTCCAGAGCGAGGATTGGTTTCTAGACTTTGGTTGCAACAATCATATGTGCAATAGAAAAGAATATTTTGCAGACCTCAATGAGCGATTTGCATACAATGTGAAGCTAGACAATAACGCAATCTTGGTGGTGAAAGGAAAAGGAAATGTGAGGCTGTAGATTAATAATCAAAATAGGTAATAACTGAATTTTTTTATGTGCCTGATTTGAAAAATAATTTGCTAAGTGTTAGATAGCTTCAAGAGAAGGGATTACCTATGCTTATTCAACATAACAGTTACAAGGTTTATCATCCTGAAAGGGGTGTTATCATGAAATCTGCGATGTCCTCCAATCGCATGTTCAAAATTGTAATAGTGTCTCTAGTATCTGGTATAACTTGCTTCAATACAGCAACTGAAGATACTGGTCAATTATGGCATTACTGCTATGGTCATTTGGGTTTCAATGGACTCAACACTTTGCAGCAGAAAGAGATGGTAATAGGTCTACCGCAGCTGATAAAATCATCAAGAGTGTGTAAAGAATGCCTGAATGGGAAGCAACAACGAGATCCATTCCCCAAGAAGAGTGCTTGGAGAGCTAAATTGCCATTACAACTAATTTATTCCGATCTATGTGGTCCTATTCAACCAATTTCTAACAATAATAAGAGGTACTTCATTTTTTTCATTGATGATTGTACTCAAAAGACATGGATCTATTTTTTACATGAGAAATCAGAAGCATTCAAGTTCTTTAAAGAATTTAAAGCCAAGGATGAATGTGAAGCAGGTTTACAAATTAAGGGTCTTCAAACAGATCATGGAGGCAAATTCACTTCATTAGAATTCTCAGATTTCTGTGCTGAAAATGGGATAAAAAAGAAACCCATTGCTCCATATTCACCTCAGCAAAATGGTGTTGCTGAGCAAAAGAATCGTACCATTATGAACATGGTTTAAAGCATAATAATCGCAAAAGGTATTCCGAAGAGTTTTTGGCCAGAAGCTATTAATTGGGCAGTTCATGTTCTTAATAGAAGTTCGACATTAGCAGTGTAGAACAAGACGCCAGAGGGAGCTTGGAGTGGGAAAAAACCTTTTGTTGGGTATTTTAAAGTCTTTGGATGTGTGGCTCATGTGCATGTAGAACATAACTCTCAAACTAAATTAGATAAAAGTAGTGTAACATGCACTTTATTGGGAGCTAGTGAAGAATCAAAGGCGCATCGACTCTATAATCCCATTGATAAAAAGATAATTATTAGTCGAAATGTTATATTTGAAGAGGATGAATGCTTGAATTGGGGAGAAGAATTCACAAGCTCAATTCAATTCGAATTGGATTGGCATGACAATGAAAGTGATGCTGAAAGGGATAATGGTCCAAAGGAAGAAATGGAAGAAAAAGAATATGAAGAAAGATCTATACAACAAGATGAAGTGGCCTAACAAGAAGAGGCTCGTGAACAACAACTTCCAAGAAGGCATCACACTCAACCTTCTTGGATGCACGATTATGTAATAGATGAAGGGTTGTCCGATGATGATAATGAGTCACATTTGACTGTCGGCAGTGAAAATGATCCTGTCCACTATGAAGACATAGCAAAGAATCCAATTTGGAGAAAAGCCATGGAAGATGAAATTGAAGCTATAGAAAGAAATGGAATATGGTATTTAACAGAGCTTCTAAGAGGTGCTAAGAAGATTGGGGTTAAATGGATCTTCAAAACTAAGTGTGATGAGAATGGAGATGTTAGTAAGCATAAAGCACGATTGATGGTTCAGGGATAACTTAAGAATATAGAGTAGATTACAAGGAAGTGTTCGCCCTTGTAGCACGCATAGAGACTATTCAATTGGTCATTGCTGTAGCTGCTCATCATGGATGACCCATCTACTAGTTGGATATCAAATCTGCCTTCTTGAATGGGGAATTAACTAAAGATGTTTTTGTTGAACAACCACAAGAATTCAAAAAAAAAAGGGAAGGAAGGAAAATTTTACAAGCTGAATCATGCTCTGTATAGCGTAAAACAGGCCCCTTGGGCTTGGTACAGGCGCATTGAAAGCTATTTTCTGAGCCGTGGATTTACAAAATGTGAGTGTGAACCCACTTTATTCACTAAGGTGGAGGAGAGCAATATTATGGTGGTAAGTTTGTATATGGATGATTTGATTTATAAGGAAATGACGATGA